CTTCTCTATGATGATCACCTTCTTGCACCCTATAAGGGATACCCAAGAATCTTCAAATGTTGCTTTTTGTTCCTCATAAGCAAACAGTCTTCTGCATCCTGAGAATTATTTTCCTCTTAACACTGCAGATTTGCTTCAAAGGCCTCGTATAGGATTCCCCTTCCCTTCTCCCTACGTTCCTTCCCTTCCTTACTCCTCCCCACTCCACTGCCCATTGCTAGGAATCCAACTTTGAATGAGGAGTGATCTATCCAGACCTGGCACTAGCAGCAGGATGGCCCCAGGCTGCTCCTCTACCCTAAAGGAGGCTGAGTTCCCCTTTCTTCAGCTAGAGGGCAGGGTTTTGGGTCTAGCAGGCTTCATCCAATGTGACAGATAATTTCCTATCCTTACTAACTAGTCTTCTCACTCTCCAAACCAGTGGTTTGCAACCTCTAAAATCATGGACCCCTGATAGTGCAATTTTTCTGAGCATCACCCTCCCTCTGCTCTATGGATATTTATTATGAATTGTTCTATAGCTTGGAAGCCTCTTCTTATCTTCCTTGTGGTGGGAGGGGTGGCTCTGTTTTAATGAGAGAAAGAATGGCCATTCATGGTTCTTCTCCCGTTCTAGCAGCCAGGTCTCCAGAATTAAATTTCTCACAAAAATGCCAATGTGCAGACATAGATGGAAATTCATACCATCATCATCAAGGACCTGTGGATAGGCTGGAAGTCCTGAGGTACTGACACAGCCTGGGGCCTCAGGAGAGAGGAGACCAAAGGGATTCCATCCAAGAGGCTAGGAGGTCATTTACAAAGCTTGGCTAGGGATCACAAGCCTCGGCTCACTCTGTCAGTGTCATGGGAGGCCCTGTTGCTTCTCCTGGGAAGATAAGCACCCATATGTGAGCTGGTAGACTTCTCTCGGGGTGTGCCCCCTGAAAAGGAAGCCCCCTGCCTCACCTGGTGGCCTTTAGGCCTGGGGCCTCCAACGGTCTCTCCACCAGCTAGGCTGCTCGGCATGTGACAGTGCTTAATGAGGAGGTTCCTCGCATGGGCTCTGGGAAGCCTGTGGGAGGCAGGCACACGGCCAGGAGAATCCCAGAGAATGCCGAGTGCCACAACTGTCAGGCCTCGGAACCCATGATGTAATGCCGCGGCGGGGTCCAGGGAAAACAAACCTGCTGTTGACGCTGCCCTCCCAGCAACCAGGCACTGCCCTCCTGATAGCAGGCTGCTCTGGGTAATCACCAATTCCCTCTCCCTCCCTGGAAGGAGGAAATGTGAAAAACCTTTATTGTCACATAAAAGCCAACCCCAGCTATGAGAAATGTCTTTTCAAATGAGGCTTGCTGAGGAGGGATTTCCATAGCAACTTCAGAAGTGTGTGTACACAGCTAGAGATGCATCCGGGCTGATGAAACCCACCTGCAATGTGAACAAGCCCTGCTCCGGGTATCAGCAGAGGAGAGTTTTTTCGAGAACCTGTCACGCTGCTATGTGACCTTGGGTAAGTCCTTTACCCTCTCTGCTGTCTCAGGTGACAGAACTGTCATTCCATCAGGCTGAGAGCGATCAAGACCATCTTGTCCACACTGTCCTCCCACCCTGGCCGAGGCTCGGGGCCTCCACAGCAGCCCCTGCCTCCAGTTTCTGTACCGTCTCTGGCTGACTAATTCCTGTCTCTGTCAGTCTTGCTTATTATTTGACATTGAGGAAGGGCAATACTCATTTGGGCTTGGTTCTAAAAAAAATTGCTTGGTCTTTGTAAAAGCAGTGCTTTGCCTGATTAGGAAAAAATAAACTTGTTCATATTTGCTTTCACAGTTCCATAGGTCAGATGCCTGGGAAAGTCACTGAGACGCTGAGATGTGAGTGCAGGTTTGCTGGGCCTACACTCAGGATCAAGACTGGTGGGGCCTGAGGTATGGAGGACGGGGGAGGGGGAGAGATTCCAGTATCACATGATCCCGCAGGAGTCCTGAAACCAGGAGGGCCCTGCAGAGCTATCCTGGAGGGGATGGAGGGGCTGGGCCTTTAAACTCCTACACTGACAAGTCACTGGATGCTTGCTGCCCTGGGCAGGAGGCTTGACCCTAGCTGAGGCAGCTGCCTTCACCCAGAGCAATTCTGCCATGGCCAACAGCCCCAGCTGAGGGAATGAGAGCCTGGGTGGAGAGGGGACCCCTGGGTGGCCCACGACAGCATCCACTACCTACACTCAGATATGTTGGAAATTAATGTGAAGGTGGCCCTGAAAACAGGGTGACAAAATGGTTAACAGCACAGACATCGGAGGCAGGCAAAACAGCCAGACTGGGATTTAAGCGTCAGTCTCAGTGGCTTTAAGACGCTCGGATCGGGAACATCGCCAGGAGAGTTTAGGCCACAGTTTCCTTGTAAGTGCAGCATTTGGCCTGGGCTGGTGAGACAAATATAAAGTTCAGAGTCAGAAGCAAGTTCAGATTCTGGCTCTGTGTGTCCTGGTTCCTCAGGCCAGTTTACTTTACATCAGTTTCCTCCACTCTGAAATGAGACAGTCACAGTGCACGCTCACAGGTCTACTGTGAGGGCAAAGGAGTGGGCAGTGAATTAGTTCACACAGAACTGGCACAGGGAAAGTGCCCAAGAAACAGGGGTGATGACAACATGTGTTTTAATACACCTCATGTGAGATCTAAGCAGATGCCTCCTGGTCAAAGGGCCTTTTCACAAGAGAAGGGGAAACTTTAGGAGGACCTTTGATTTGCTCATTGCTTCTCTGTGCCCTTGCCTTGGGCTTTAGCTGGGCATGTCAGTCATCTCTGCAGACAGTGGCCCATAGGCTGATGGGGGCCAGGTCAACCCAGTCCCAGCGTGGAGGCCATGGAGGGTCATCCAGTGCAACAGAGTACTTTGAAAGCTACACATTTTGAAGCAGGCTTATCTTCCAATAAAAAAAGCATCACCCATACTTCTGACAGGTTCGATAAACAATGAAACTCACTTGCTGGTACTTTGTTCCATGTTTGCTCATCTGAGACAATGGGGTGATGATACACACCAAACAGGATCGATTTGAGAACATGGAAGATTTCAAACACCTTAAAGGGCTATGTAAATTCAATTATTATTGTTGCTAGAAGACTCAGCTTTGATCAATTACAAAGGAAAACAAAAAGAGCATAGGTCTACCTATAGTAGGCTTGTTCTAATTATTAAAAAGCAGCCACAAGACTTCCAAGAGTTATCAAGAGATCTCTGTTATTATTATTTATTGTCACTATCACTATTGTGGAATACATTTCACATATGTTATCTTACCTGGCTCCAACAACAAATCCTAAAAAGTTGGTATTATTAATTCCAGCTTGCAGATGAGAAAACTGAGGCCCAGAGAGGTAAAGTGGCACCATATTGCTCAACTAAGAGGACTTTGGGCTTGGAACCCAAACATATGCTTTCTCCACTGTAGAAAGAGTGTCTGCTTACCGGAGAAGGTTCATGAAGCCTGGTGAAGTATGGTCCTACTTAGAACAGATGTTATAATGTCAGATGTTGAGTAACGATGGGGTTCTGAATACATGGGTATCGTGTGTCCTTCGGGCTTTATATGTAAGAAATGTGTCCCGGCTTGGTACTGGTTCTGAGAAACTGACCCTGCCATATGAAGGGGCCCTGTCTGGCTGTAGCAGAATGGCCTCTTTGTTTGACTGTGTGTCTGCTGACCAAACATCTGAAAGAACTGTCTGCATACAGAACATTTTCAAAATAGGTGGGAAATGTGGTTCAGTGCACACTCGAGATGTTTTTAGACCAACTCTCCTCCAGAATTCTCTGGCTTGTTTTCTCTGGTGCATGGAATATTTGATAATACAATTTTAAGTGACGATGAATGAAGGATGACTACAGGATCTGAGTAAATTACACAGGATGCGTGACCAGGCCTCCCAATGTACTAAAAATTACCTCTCTCAAGTGAATATAGATCTTCCCTTCTATCTCAAGTCATCCTCATTTTAAAATGAGGACACCGAGGCTCAGAGATGTGAAGTGACTTGCTCAAGATCTCACTTCTACACAGGAGCAGGATCCAGGTTTTTAACCTCCGTGTTCAGATTCCACATACAAAATCAGAGAAAAATGAACGTCCAGAACCATCTTGAAAGGGAGAGGAGTCAGAACGGGCAGCTTGGCGATGGCTGTGGAAGGGGGTAACCATGGACCAACCTTGAACCTCAATGATGGTAGTTCTGAGGCTCTGCATGATGCACTAGAGCCTCCGATCTCTATTAGGCCATCACCCCCTCCTCTCCTACCTGTCACTTCTGAGTCATTGCCCCGCCACCAGCCTCCTAAAACAACGGTTCCCAAAGCACAGTTCATCAGTGCAGTACTTCTCAAATGTCAAGGTGCATACAAATCACAAGTGAAGTTGTTAAAGTGAAAATTCTATTCAGTAGTTCTGGGGTGAAGCCTGAGATTCTGCATTTTAACAAGTTCCCAGTGATGCTGATGGGTCTGTGGACCAAATTTTTGAGTAGTGAGGCATCAATAGTAATGTACAAGGAAAAGCACTTATGGGTGAATATGCTTGAGAAAATCTGGACTTAACAAAATTAAACTAGTTTCATTACTGCAGGACTTCTCAGAGCCTTTAAAATGCTACTGAGCATCCTTTAACTCCAAGAGGGAGAGGTAACACAGAAATCATAAAGTGTTATACATGAGAAAGGAGTAACGATATAACCAGGATGCTTTGAGATATATTGGCTTACAAAGAACAAGAAATGAGGAAAATTATATGTGCATTTTTCCCAACTTACCTTGGTTCCAATGTTTCAATGTTGCAGCTCATATTCAGCCCCAACTTGGTCCTCCCCTTTCCCATTTTCTCCTGAGGTGTTTGGGTGCCTGTTTCTTCCATCAGACCACATACATCTGGGCCTCCCTGCTCCTCCTCCCTGCCCTCATCCCAGCATGAGCAGTGTGCCGGGAGGCCCCAGGTGAGTGCAGAACCGGACCCACGGGAATACCTTTCACAGACACGGACGGTCCAGGCCGCGATGATCCACAGTGAGATGCTGAACACAAGCAGCACAGTGCCCGGGCAGATGGTCATGAGGGTCTTCATGACGAAGCGGGTGTTGAAGTTAATCTTGTTGAGGGCCCCGATGCTGCGGGACGAGGCGTCAGTGAAGAGCTTGCTATGCAGTAGCATGACGCGGGCGATCAGGTACAGACGCAGGAACATGGGGATGGACAGGATGATGTCCACGTCGGCCTCCGCCCGCGAGGGTGTGTAGGAGAAGGCCAGGCGTGCCGTCCAGAAGAACTTGTACTCGCCAGGAATGGGGTGGATGGCACACACCAGCATCTCCAGGCTGATGTAGAGGATGCGCTCGTAGGTCATGGCTATCCGCCAGTCGTCCGCACCATTGTCAATCACGAAGAGCTGTGGGAGCAGAAAGCCTGTGAGCGCAGCCAGGAGGGAAGCACACAGTCGGGGTAAGGGAGGATGGGGCAGCTGACCCACCCCGGGGCCCTCTTTGGAGACCTCGCTTGGGTGAAGGGAGCCCTGGAGGGGGAGTCAGGAGACCTGGCTAAGACACGTCAATCTCTGGGCCTCCATTTCTATAAATTGCTCCCCAGGGTTCCTTCCAGCTCCGAGGGTCCCCTACCCTGGCTGTGCCATGACTAAGAAGACGCACAGCTCACTTATACTGAACAGTTCCCTGGGCCCCTGCCAGGCCCTGAGCTGAGCCCTGAGGGGGATGTGCAGATGAAAAGGCTCTGTTTCCTCCATGAGTGAACTCACGGGGGCTAGCTGGGGTGTGAGCGGTGAGGGCCCCGGAGCCAGACTGCCGGGATCTGGATCCTGGTTTCTACACTAACTAGCTCTGTGACCTGAGCCTCTCTGTGCCTCAGTTTCCTGCTCTGGGGACAATGAGAGTAACACGTGCTGCATAGAGGTGGCCGTGAAGCTGCAGTGGGCTAATATATAAGAAGTGTGGGGAATCCTGCCTAGCACCAGCTCTGTAAGTATTAGTTGTTGCTATTTTTAGCATTGTTAATCCCATGGGGTCTCTTTCTGGAAATGAGGGTTGGGCTCGGGGATGTCTAAGCTCCCTTCCAGTCCACACCTTCTTTCTACAAAGCTGAGATTCTCACTGTCACAGCAGGGAAGACGGGCAAAGCAGCTGAAAGAAGTCTTCGCTGAGCACCTGTTGTGCGCCCAGCCTGGGCTCAGCGCTGGGTTCACACACCAGGAAAGCCCTGGCTTGTTCTCAAGGAGGTCTCTCTGCGGAGTTCCACATGCAAGGGGGCCTCACGTCCTTCCCTTCCGTGGCCCCAGTCTCCGCTGCAAAATGAGAGGCTCTGAGATCCAGTTTGGACATTCGAAGGTCCTGATTCTTAGAGGGTGAGGCCTGAGACCAGGGCCTCTGGTGGACTCGGGGGCCTCCTGGACAGGCGTGCACCTCAGTTCTGAGAAGTGATGGAAGTGTTTCTCCCACGCCATCCCCTCTCGGTGCTGGGCCCTGCCTGTCCAGCTTGCTCTGTCCTGGTTTGCCCACCACACAGCCCCACACGCTGCCGGCTCCAGGGCCGCGCACAGCAATTCTTTGTATGGCTGCTTGAGCTGGCCCATAAGGTGGGGGGCAGGGGCAGGGTCCCCCAGCTTTGCACGAGCCCGTGTTCCACATGCACTGGTACGACCTGGCCAGAGGAGCAGCCCACGAGTCCCAGGAAAGATTCGTGGCCAGAAAGAAACTCAGCTGCCTTAGAAAGAAATGAATGTTAGGGCCAGGGTTGGGAGGCAGAAGTTTGATTTAACCTGGAAAAGTTTGATTTAACCTTCATCATGGCAGGAATCAAAGAGAGGTTGGGTCAGCGTGGATTAGGCATGCTGGTCAAAGGCTGAGCTAAGACTTCCTCACCAACCCCCCATCACTTTGCTCCACTTCACAGGTTGTTTAGGGACGTAGAGGCCCTTTCCTCTGTCTGTCCTGCTGTTTCCTCTACAGTAGGGGCCAAAGGAAACTTCTGCTGTCTTTTGTTGTTGGTGGTGGTAATTTTTTTAAAAAATTGTTGTATTTTGAAGTTAGTCACCAAGCACTTTTCTCTTCTCCTTCCTTCACTGCCACCCTGACAGGCCACCATCCTAACAACTGAGGATGCAGGAAAGAAGACCGTGACACCATGCCTGGGGCCTCTGAGGGTAAAAAGGGCCCATCAAGGGATCTGTGACACAAATTCAAGGTGAATCAATGTGGTCATAGGACTTGGATGAGGGGTATCCTGGCTGCCCTGCTTTTAGGGTCTGCCTGTGCCATTTGGCCTGCCACAAGGAGCAAGTACCAGCCGGCTGTGAAGAGGCAGGTGCAGCTACAGGAGTGTGCATGGAGGGGAGGCAGCCTGTGCAAGCCGTGCTCTCACCCTGCTGGACCACAGTTCACCCTGCCTCCTGCCCCGGGACCTCATAGAGCTGTGGCGTGGAATAGGGGAGATAACGGGTATAACGGGGCTTCATAAACTACAAAAGGTCATTCATTCATTCATTCAACAAACATGCTGGAGTCCCTCTATCTGCCAGGGGGCTGGGCATTCAAGATGCAGTGAAACAGCTCTGAGCATGGCTCCTGTGATGAGGCTCGTGGAGGGGAACTATTAATAGAAGGCACTATGGGAGCAAGGGGGCCAAGGGGCCAACCTCAGCCCAGGCAGCTGTAATTGGAAAGGTATGATCTCTAAAAGGGAGAGAGGACCCAGCCCAGCACCAGCTGAGACTCCCCCTCCCTCCCCAGTGCAGCTGAGCTGGGGTTTTCGCAGACACGGGTTTGCACCATCAATTAGAGGGACTAGAGGAGAATCCCAGGGACGGGGGAGCCTGGTGGGCTGCCGTCTATGGGGTCGCACAGAGTCGGACATGACTGAAGCGACTTAGCAGCAGCAGCAGCAGCAGAGGCTGCTCAAAGGATTCCCTCTGCTCCTAACTGCCACCGACAGGCCAAGCCATTTCAATGTGAGTGCCTGGCCAAACTCTTCAAATACAAAATGAAAACCATCCGCCCTATAAGAAAGAACTGCATCAGGTTACTATAGTAACTGGGTTCACTCTGGGCAGAGTCGCAGGTTCCTTGGATTCCCTGATGAAGAATGAGAGTATACACCACCATGTTCAAGTGGCGGCAGGCCGGCAGTTCTGCCCAGCTTGATGAGAAGGGGCTGGCACCAGGGTGGTGTCCCCACCTGCCTCCCACATGACCTGCTTCTGCTTCAGTTTCCTGGCACAGCTTGGGTAGGGGGACAACATGCAGTAGTAGAGTTGGAGGCTGGTGAGCTGGACCGAAGCCTCACACATCCAAACACTAGCTGTGTGATCACAGGCAAGTCCCATCACCTCTCTATGCCTATTTCCACATCTCTGTCCTAAGACTATGAAACTTGACCCTGTCCGTCTCTTGGGATGAGCATTAGGATCCAGTAATACAGATAATACAAGAGAACATTCTTTACGAACTACAGTCGGCCATTGATATCCACAGATGAACTGTGGATGCAGAGGGCTGAGAGTCCTATACCATTTTATATAAGGGACTTGGATTTTGGTGTCCACAGAGTTTACTGGAACCAATCCCCTGTGGATACCAAGGGACACCTGTACTCTCAAAACGTGAGGGATTATTAATCCCTGTGAGGCACTGAGAGACAGTATGTATGCGGGCCCATGGGGATATAGTCCAGGCTGAAGATCAAGAGCCTCTGCTAGACAGGGCTCCATGCAGGGGTCTGTCAGTCAGCAGGGTGGGCAGTACGGCCCAGAAGATTCCTTTGCTGTCCCATAGGAGGACACCCTTGTTCCTGCTCCCATCTGACCCCTGGAACCACAGCTCTCCAAGTGTAGCCTCCTTCCTTTCAGACTCAAGCAGGTAACAGTACCCCACCCTGCCACATCCTCACTCAGCATCCTGTTCATTAGGTACAAGTCACAAGTCTCAGTTGTGTATTTATTCATCTTTACTTGGAACCCTGAGTATTCATTGGAAGGACTGAAGTTGAAGCTCCAACACTTGGGCCACCTGATGCCAAGAGCCAACTCATTGGAAAAGACCCTTATGCTGGGAAAGATTGAGGGCAAAAGGAGAAGGGGGCGGCAGAGGATGAGATGGTTAGATAGCATCACCAACTCAATGGACAGGAATCTGAGCAAACTCCAGGAGATAGTGAAGGACAGGGGAGCCTAGAATGCTGTAGTGCAAGGGGTCACAACAAGTTGGACACAACTTAGCTATTGAACAACAACTTGGTTTTTATCTCTTCCCCACCTCTCCCCACACCGTCCAGAGCAGTGTTTCTTGATCTGTCTGCGAGAATCACTTGGAAAGCTTGTTTAAAAGACCCACACTCCAGCTTACCCTAGACCAAGTAAATCTGAAACTCTAGGCATGAGGCTTTGGCATTGGGAATTTTCTTAAGTTTCCTTGGATGATCCCAAAATGTAACCTGGATTGTGACCCAAAAAGGGATGGGGGGCCATATCTGCCTTGTTTGTCTGCTGTGGAATCTCTGGTGCCGGCCCAGCTCTTAGCACATATAGGTGTTGGGTAAATTCTTGTATAGTGAATAAATAACTACTGTTGAGTATTTGACCCTGGGTGACTAGAATCCCCAATCTTGGAATTGATTTCCTCCTCTGAGGAATAGGTGGATAGGTTGGATGAGCCCTGAAGCACCTTCCACTCTGAAGATCCCTTATTCTGTGCCCTGTTTGGTTTTTTTTTTTAATTTTTAATTTATTATTTATTCCTTGTTGCACCGGGTCTTCACATGGGCTTTTCTCTAGTTGCAGCAAGTGAGGGCTACTCTTCGTTGTGGTGCACAGGCTTATTGCAGTGGCTTCTCTTGTTTCAAATCACAGGCTCTAGGCACACTGGCTTCAGTTAGTTGTGGCACATGGGCTTTGTTGCCCTGCAGCATGTGGAAATCTTCCCAGGCGAGGGATCGAACCTGTGTCCCCTGCATTGGCAAGCAAACTCTTCACCACTGGACCAACAGGGAAGTCCTTCTGTGCTCTATTCTGAGCCCTTGTTCTATGCAGACCTCAGGTGTGGTCTCGAGGTGCATGAGCTCCCTGAGGACAGGACTCATGGCTGGCTCATCTCACCTTTCTCCAAGGGCTAGGATGGTCCTGGTACAGTCAATAGAATTTTACTGAATAAAGAGGTGTGTGGGTGAATGACTATGTCATGTGAAGAAAAGGACAGGTGGACAGTGGCCCTTGTTAACCACCCAGAATGGAAATTCGTGTAGAAAACTCATTGCTAAACCTGTGACTAATGGAGTACCTGACAAGTTATCTTACGCCATGAGAAGGACACCCTCCTATTCCCAGGGGGTGGTCCAATCTGGAATAAAGGGTCCCAGGTGATCTCCAAGCCCTAGAAAGTACTGGAG